TCATCCGTCCTCATCTGGTGAGATCGACCAACGAATCTCTTCTTCATGCACCTTTATACGAAATGAAGGTGCCTCTAACAATTTTTATTCATAGACAATCGCATTAGAGAATTTTAATTGGGATAATGTATGGCCTTCTTTGAACTTCATGTCTGTCCTGTTACCAAGGGCATTCAGAACAATGTGGCGTAATTGTTAACGCTTCGAGGCCCTACTCTACAGCATCATGGGTCGATACCCGTTGGGGGGATCTGAAGAGACCAAGATGAGGTAGAAACTGCACTCCTCTCTAGTCGAGATAAGAATATCTTTTTGGAAAACTATGTAATATTCAATGGAAAATTAAGCTCTACTCATATCATTATGGGGAAATTCAACTACCAGTTGCCTTATCATCCTTAACGAAAAATAATTCGCACATCTAATATAAAATAGTTTATGCTCGTTAAATCAAGTGACGTTTTAAAATTATCCTGAAAATATGGTAAATAAAAACCGCCATGTGACAGAAATAGGGTATCGATTTGAGAGCAGTTGGAGATGGCTTTTGCTGCGAGGATCTTGTTTTTCAGATAGGCATGTAGATTAACTAACCTTATTACAATAATGAAAATAATAATAAATTTATGCATATTATATTTTATTATATGATAATGATAATAACAATATAATAAGAGAATATCAATGATGTTATATCAAGGTTAAAGGCCCATTTGGTGCAGCATAGAATCGTTAATTATAATAGGATGATCCTAAGTATGATTTAGAATAATTATGAAAGTATCACAACCAGCATCCATAATACCGACTTTGACAGAAAGCTCAACTCTTATCCTAACCCTAGCCTTAATCCTAAAAATAAACTAAAAAATTACCCTGTCATTGACCGATATAAAACTTATAACTTAGCATTAATTATGAGCCCCAAAATGACCCTAACAATATCAATATTACCCCATACAATAATAAGACTAACTCTGTTACTCGTCCTGACCATAACCCTACCACTAACCAAAATAAATTCCATAACTTACCTAAAATTATGAACCTTAACCTAACTAAAATAGTGACTCTAAACTTATCAAGAATACCAAATCTAAGAATAAGACTAATCCTAACAGTAACCGTAATACCTAAACTGTATATGAGCCTCGAAATAAATATAAAAGCGATCCTAACAAGGTCAAAAGATAACGAATATAAGAATTAGCATTAACTAAAATCCTTGAATCCAAAAGCAAACCTAATCGGGACGATAACATTTAACCGAACCGAACAATTTGCTCTAACCACAGCATGAACTTCAATTTCACTCCAGCTCAAAGCTTACCTTTGAGGCTAACTCTAACGCTAACCCTAAACCTAATCCCAACCCTAAAATTAAGCATCTTGGCCTTTATGTCCCTGATTGAATGGTGAGATGCGACTGAAACGGCACTCGAGTGTAGATGGAATCCGCTTTTTGGAAGCATGGCAAAGTGAACTCCAATGCAATGAGCGAGTCTTCTCTTCGTATCATCATCATCATCATCATGAGTGGACTGGGTGTCAGTCAAAACTAATCTACCACGACGTCAGAGAGCATGCTATTGTCGGCTTCATTCGCCGACCAAACAGGAGTCTGTCACCGGCCTCGTTCATTCGATTGGTTAGTTCGGCTTGGCGGGCAATCGAGCAACACATCGAACATTCTCGACTAGCCTACAAACCGTTCGACCTTCTCTTCGGACAGCTCTCCTACAGCT